GTCACGCACATTTGTAGGGCTTGGGATGTTCATGACATACCCTTCTGAACCCAGACTCTGGCCACCAGCTAAAACCCTAAACCCTAAACCCTAAACCCTAAACCCTAAACTCTAAACCCTACACTCTAAACCCTAAACCCTAAACCCTAAACCCTAAACCCTAAACCCTAAACTCTAAACCCGAAACCCTAAACCCTAAACCCCTTGCAGTCCAAAGCACGGCGGCCAGCCAAAGCCCCGGCCGTGAGCCGCCGGCCATGGCCTCCAACTCCTCGGAGGACCTCCGAGGAGCAGGGCTCAGGCTTTTAGGGTTTAGGGTTTAGGGTTTAGGGTTTAGGGTTTAGGGTTTAGGGTTTAGGGTTTAGGGCTCAGGCCTTTAGGGGGTGCTTTACCGGGTTCCGCAAAAGGGCTCTATACGGAATCTATACTGGAAGGGTCGGGGGATTTAGTAAGTAGTTGTTTTGAGCACTCATAAGTATCATAGTCCCAATTAACATCTCTCTTGGGGTGCTTTTACCAACTTACTGCGTTCCCCCGCCCGCCAATTATTGTTGGCTTCAGGTCTTTGGGGGTTCCTTTGAAGGCTTCCAGACGGATGTTGCGCAGGGCAGGCCTTTCGGCATTCCTTTTAAAGGGGTTTCCTAAAGGCATCTACAAAGGAGCCGGAAGGGTTTGGGGTTCAGGATTTGGGTAGTTCTCTAAATTAGGGCCGTTTTCTAGGTCCCAATATAGTACGGCACCCCTTACAAAAAGGACCCTAAAAGGGACCCTAATTTAGAGAACTACCCATTTAGGGCTTCGGGGTTTCGGTGTGTCCGGCCGGGCATAGGTTGAGCGATTCGGACACCTACCGACCAGCAGGGGCCAAAGGACCTCTGCCGCTCCGGCTGGTGGCGTAGCTGCCGAGTTGCCGTGGCATACTTTAAGGTAACGGATCATGGGACTGAGCATAGTAACTAAGGCTATGAACAAGGCAACTAACTGTACTTGTAATTACTTACAACCCCAGTTTAGGGTACTTATAACACCCATGATCCTCCAAGTAATGCCGGAAACCTGGGCAGTCGCGAGAGTTATCTGGTCAGCGCACAAGCAGAAATGACGCAGAACGGTTTGTTTAAGGTTTATAGGGTTTACGGATCTAGGGGTTTAGGGCTTAGGCAAGCTCGTAGACTTTGCAGCTTGCCCTCTCGTCCCTGTACTTGTCCATCACTCGTTTCTGCAGCAAGCAGACCAAGCATGGAGGGTCAAGGGGGTTTGGCAAGCATTCAACTTATAGACTGATGGGTAGCAAAGGCCCAATTAGGATCCCCTTCACGGGTACTTATATAAGTAACTTATAAGTCTACTTAATATAGGGGCCTTAGTAATTCCATTATACTATAATTATGATAAGGAACCCCCCAAAATATATTGGTAATTATTTACGCCCCTCTACTACGTATGACCTACTGAAAAAAGTCCGCCGACCCTCCGAGCAGCTGCCAAGGCAGATCTGGCGGCCAGTGACCCCAGCAACCGCTGGCTCACCCAAAGCCTCCAAAACCCCTCAACCAAGAAATAATGTAGGTGCCTTAATAATTAGAACAGGGTTTTGGGGAGCTCCTTCTTGTAATTATAGTATATCAACCCTGTTCTAATTATTCAATATCAACCCTGTTCTAATTATTCAGCCCCCTATTTCCCTTCAATTCTGATGGGAACCCTAAAATGATTTAAAGGTACAATCCTTCTAAACCCTAAACCCTAAACCCTAAACCCTAAACCCGAATCCTCCATGAAGGGGCTATGGAGCCTCTGTGCAGAGCAAGGCACGACTGCGATGAGCGAGGAAATATTGAGAAGTCTGCAAGTTTCCCGTACCATAAAACGCACACACACACACACGTTTAGGGTTTAGGGTTTAGGGTTTAGGGTTTAGGGTTTAGGGTTTAGGGTTTAGGGTTTACATCATGATCGATGAAGTTTATTTCGTACTTGGCTAAAGGACGCGTATCCTTACTGCGGGCCAAGATCTCGTTCCCCAAGTACGTAGGGCTGGATTCTGGATGCATGTCAGAAATTTCCGGGGTCTCGTTCGAGCATATGCTATATGCATGGCATGAGAGTTTAATGCTGTAGTAGTAGTGACAAAAGCAAGAGCAGCAGAAGCATTAGCAGCAGCAGTAGCAGTTATAGTAGCAGTAGCAGTGGCTGTGGCAATGGCAGTAGCAACGGTAGTGGCAGCGGCAGTTCCAGCAACAGTAGCAACAAAAGCAGGAGGAAGGGAAGCAGGTGTGGCAGCAAGTGTAACGGCAGCAGCAGGAGGAACAGGAGCAGTGATGGTGGCGGCGGCGGTAACAGTAGCAGTAGTAGTAGGGGCCAAATTAGGCTTGCTGCTGTTCAAGTGCCTCTAGACTAAGTCTGGAGACAGCCACCACAACCACAGAATTCCATCAGCTCTTACAGCCTAAGCCTGGGAGATGCAAGTCCCCGGGTCGGCCTTCCGCTTGCCACCACTGAGGGGGAGGGAAGGGCGGTTCCCGGACTTCCTGGCAAACATTCCACCGCAGGCGGAGCTTTTGCACCTCGGACTCGAATGTGGGCAGTTCGTGCGTGCGATTAAGAGCGCCTGGCACGCAAAATTGAACGTCGCTGACGATGTCGCTGCAAGGCTTGTTGAAGCCTCTCCTTCTTTGGCCTACGAACACTGCTCCGGGACCGCAATCGCAGCGCCGGGGCCAGATTCGGCTCTTCAGGCCCAGACTTTGAGTAGCCTGTCGGAGACTCAGTGTCGTCCTTTGTTGCGGGCGACTTCTCGACGGAGTTTCAGCAGCACACAAAGATCCAAGAGTAGTCATGGGTTTAGGGCTTCGGGCTTAGAGTTTAGGGTTTAGGGTACACATTTGGGCAACGGCCTCGACCCCTGGTTGACTTTACACTGTCGGGTCCAGGGCCTCCTAAACCCCAAACCCTAAACTCTAAAACCCTAAACCCCGGAACCCTAAACTCTGAAACCCGAAACCCCTGAGGCCCTAAACTCCCTAAGCCCTAAACCTAAACCCTGAACTCTAAAACCCCTTACTAAACACCTGAACTCTAAACTCCCTAAACCTAAATCTCTAACCCCCTGAACCCTAAACTGCTTAAGCCCTAGACCCTAAACCCTGAAGCCCAAGTGCCCGGCCAATCGGCCACGGACAGCATCGCACCCTCCTCCGCCAAGGTCTCGGTGGACCTGTGCAGCTCTGGGTTGAACTTCCCGGAGCCCAAAACCCAAACCCTACTTGGAGGATCTTGGGACTTAGTAAGTAAGGTTTATAAGTACCTTAATTGGGGTTATAAGTAACTATAAATATAGTTACCTTATTTAAACCCTCAGTTGCTTAGTCCCATGATCCTTTAAATACCCTAAACCCTAATTAAACCCTAAACCCAAACCCTAAAGCATCCTAAACGAATAGCCTAAACTCTCAACCATCCCATCAACCTTGAACAACAAACCCAGAAGAGTAGGCTCACGGCTAAGGGTTCAGGTGGGGGCCACCGGATTAAGGTCCCGGATGGGGCGTTACATAGGGCCGGTCATGATTAGCAGAGTGTTTGGTGTATTGATATGTAATGTTAAAGTGCACGACCCAAACCCTAAACCCTAAACCCTCAACCCTAGACCCTAAACCCTAAACCCTAAACCCTAGACCCTAAACCCTAAACCCTAAACCCTAAACCTCAGACCCTAAACCCCAAACCCTAGACCCTAAACCCTAAACCCTAAACCCTAAACCCTAAACCTCAGACCCTAAACCCCAAACCCTAAACCTTAAACCCTAAACCCTAAACCCTAAACCCTAAACCTTAAACCTTATAGTGCAGGGCCCTGTTTTGAAGCTGATTTGGGCAAACGAGGGACGATTTTTGGGACTCCCGGGCTGTAAAGTACCCTAAAGCTGGGGTGATGTGGGGTTACTTTTAGGGTTTAGGGGTTAGGGGTTAGGGTATAAGGTTTAGGGTTTAGGGTTTAGGGTTTAGGGTTTAGGGTTTGGGGTTCATTGGAGGGTCGGGGGACTTAGTAAGTTGTTAGTAAGAAGACTCTTAACTACCTTAAAAGGCATCCTAATTGGAGATATGACACTTATAAGTCTATAAAAATAACTACGTACTTGCTAAGTCCCCCGACCCTCCGAGTAGCCTTGGGCATTGAGGACGGAACAGGACATGGCTAACAGCATACCCATGATACTACTTGGTTGGTTGCTGCTGCTGCTGCTGGTATCCATTGCACTGAAGTTGGACTGGAGGTAGAATCACATAGGGGGTCAGGGTTCAGGGTTTCCTTGGCGGCAGCTGTACCTATTAAGTTATATAGTCTGTTGCAAATATTATTGTAACTGCAGCCCGCGACCGTAAACCCTGAACCCTAAATCCTACGCTTGCGCAAAGCCAAGCATGATCCTCGTTTGGCACACAAGCTATATCAGCTGCTATGCAGACCATACTGCCAGCAAGACCAGCAGCACAGAATGCCTTGCGGTATTATGAGCATCTGGCATTCTAGAGTTTAGGCTAGAGTTGAAAAACCCACAAGTTTGCTTCAACGCTTGGGCTTTTGGGATCAAGCATAGAACGGTACCTTAAACCCGAACTCTAAGATGCTACGCTACAAACTATCATACACTACGGCTAACTAGGTGCAGCCGAAGATGATGCGAGCGCTGGCATTACGACTGCGAGATCAGCCATAATACTGGGGCCTAAATTATTTAGAATAGGGTTTGGTGATATATTTTACTATAATTAGTTGAAAATTGTAATAAGGAACACCCAAAATCCTATCCTAAATGTTAAGGCCCCTACACTACTTTAGAAACTTACCGTTGTTCTGCCCTCCGGAAATCTACGGCGGCCTTGCCCGCGCGGCGACGATGGCTAAGGCGGCATCCAGGGACAGGAAGCCACCGACGACGGCGGCGCTGTACCTAGGCTTTCGGGGGCGCAAAAAACCCCTGAACCCTAAACCCTGAACCCTAAAACCATCTACAAGCTGACTCTAGAGTCTAGAGCTTTTAGATAACCCCATTTAGAACAGATCGAGGTACAATGTAATATACTTATATAGGGACTACAAGGCTTCAAGTGGATGTCCTTCGCCGTAATGCCAAGTTCGAAACCTTTGCCTCTGGGGCGGGGGGGGGGGGGTTAGTTGGCAGCCTCTGGAAACCGCAAAATGCAACCATAAACCTTCACTGAACCCTGAAGCCTTGAGCTCTAAACCCCAAAACCTTAAACCCACTGACCCATGCTAAAGCCTCAACCTGACACCCCGAAAAGTCGCGCAACCCGAAACCCTAAAGCCTTAAACCCTCAACCCTAAACCCTAAACCCAAACCCTAAACCCTAAACCCGAAAGCCAAAAACCTCAAACCCTGAACCCTAAACCCGAGGCGGCGCACTCCCCCAGAGAGTGGCCGGCGCAGGCAACCGGCTTTACCTCAGAAGGTCGGGAGGACTCATAGCAAGCAAGGGATTAGGGCTTTAGGGTTTAGGGTGCAGGGTTTGCGGTTAGTAAGCAAGGGATTAGGGCTTTAGGGTTTAGGGTGCAGGGTTTGCGGTTAGTAAGCAAGGGATTAGGGCTTTAGGGTTTAGGGTGTAGGGTTTGGGGTTGGTAAGTAAGGAATTAGGGCTTTAGGGTTTAGGGTAGCGAGTAAGGGATTAGGGCTTCAGGGTTTAGGGTAGTGGATCATGGGACTTAGTAACTGAGGTTATAAACAAGCTAACTATATTTATAACCCGAGTAAGGGTACTTATAACCCTACTTACCAAGTCCCAAGATCCTCCAAGTAGAGCATGCTGCGGGAAGGACCTTTGCAGCTCACGAGCCCTCAACCCTCAAATTTGAACCCTACTTGGAGGGTCGAGGGACTTAGTAAGTGGGTAATAAGTAGACTTATACGTACCCTAAAAGGGATCCTAATTGTGGTTATGATACTTATAAGTCTATAAAATAACTACTTACTAAGTCCCCCGACCCTCCAAGTATATATACTTCAGTGCAGAGGACTGCAGGGGTTTTGGGTCTAGGGTTTAGGGTTTAGGGTTTAGGGTTTAGGGTTTAGGGTTTCAGGGTAAAGGGTTCATTAAAGTCGGCTCTTGTACAGTATCCTACCAAAACGCTACAAGTCCTCATTTAAAGCCCTGGAAACCCTCTGAAACCCCCCTTTTCTTGCCGTCTGCATAAACCCTAAACTTCCCTAAAACCCTAAAACCCTAAACCCTAAACCCCTAAAATCCACCCGGCAAGCACGCCTTGATATAGTCCTCCTCCGAAGAGACAACAGGGACCTCTCAGGGCTCTGAGACGGTGCTGAAAGGTGGTTTAGGGTTCAGGGTTTAGGGGTTTAGGGTTTAGGGTTTAGGGTTTAGGGTTTAGGGTTTAGGGTTTAGGGGTTTCGGGTTTAGGGTTTAGAGGCTTAGGGTTTAGGGTTTGGGGTTCAGGGTTTAGGGTTTAGGGGTGCTAACAGGCTGGATTTGAAGTTTGACGAAGGGTGCAACCCTAAGCATAAGCCTGATAGTGGATAACAAGAATAAAAGCAACAATGATAACCATAGTGACGATAAGAATAATAATAATAATAAGGGGAATAGTAACAAGAATCATAACAACTAAAAACAGGAGTAATAATGATATGAAAAACAATTAAACTGATGAAGCCTACTCAACGGATCCACGCTAACGTAGCTTGCAAAACAATATACGCGTCCGAATACCTAGACTAGGGTTTTTTCGGCATGTTGTACTCTGATCATATTACAAACCATAAGGAACAGCATTGGTAATGGTTACGGCTTCTATATCAACTTCCAATAGTACAACTTCCATAAGAAAAACCTCAAAAACGCCAACACGCTACCTCCAAACCCTGTTCAAATCCCTTACAGCACCCCCTGTAAGCTAAACAGATCCTAAATCCTCAAAGCCTAAAGCCCTAAACCGTAAGACCCTAGCCTAGAGCCTTGATGGCCCGTGAGAGACAAAGCTACAAACCCTAAACCCTAAACCCTAAACCCTTTTACAAATCCCCCTTGTCTTGAGGCCCTTAACTGCAACGCTCATTCAACCAACAAAATGGGTTTAGGGTTTAGGGTTTAGGGTTTAGGGTTTATGAATCCCTTGGAGATTTATCACAATGCATTAAAACAGAAATACTTAAATACGTCCCAAATATTAACCTGCACATCTACTATGCTAAACCCACGTACCATATTATTGGGTCCTTTATGAAACACCGCGAACCCTAAGCCCGAAACCCTAAACCCGCAACCCTGAACCCTGAACCCTAAAACCCTGAACCCTAAGCCCTAAACCAGAAACCCGAAACCCTAAACCCTAAACCCTGAACCCTAAACCCTAAACCCTAAAACCTGAACCCTAAACCCTAAACCCCAAACCCCGCGGGCCAGTGGGGTTAGGCAAGGCACCTTGATGGGCGCGGCGCGCGCGCACCTGGGGCGGCTTTGGTAGGTTCGCGCCCTTCGGCTTAGAACGGTGGGTTTAGGGTTTAGGGTTTAGGGTTTAGGGTTTAAGGGCGCAGGCTTTTGGATTCTAGGGTTTAGGGTTGTAGGGATTTCGGGTTTGAGGTATGGGGGAAAGAAACAACGGTTCTGCATAGGGCTTTATGAAAGCCTACTAACAATGGGGTTTTATATGATTGTACTACAGGCCATAGAAGTAGTTTATGAAAGGCGGCTTCAAGGCTTTAAAGGGTTATCGCGCTGTTAAACTAAACCCTAAACCCTAAA